GAGAGCTGACAATCAGTCCCTGAACAGAAAACATAAATGACACTGAAGTAAAAGGGATAATGTATTTATCTGGCAATGAAGCTTGATTAAGCTCTCTACTACCTTTGAGTCAACAAGCCAGATCTTCTTGCGGGTCTCTTCCAAAGGAGCTTTTACCTGCAAAAGGCATATGAAACTTTATAAATCAATCAAAAATATCACTCATTAACATGTCAAGGACTACTTCAAATCCAAACAGGACAGTACCAAAGTTCAATACTGTATGCACATGATAACAATAAGTTGTACCTGCTTGGACATCTCAAGGGCTATAAGTTCTGCAATACCAGTCCCAGCCTACAATAATGGTATAAGAAGCAAGATAAAGTAACTTGATTGATAGGATGGACAACTGGAGATCAGAGGAATCAGTAAATAGGTAACATAGGCAAAAAGGCTGGAATATAAAACAACAGAAATCAGAAGGCAAAATGAAAAATTGCACATTGTTCATGAAAGCAAAACAAACAAAGTTTCGTCATAAAGTTAGTTATTTTGCATCTTGTCAATGAACATGTCTTACTTCCCCAGCACCAAGGAACAAGAATGTATGCTCGGCCAGAGTGCCACCAATCAACTTCAGTGCGGAAACTATTCCAGCAAGAACAACAGCTGCTGTTCCCTGAAACAAAAGAGAAAATAGTTCAGAAAAGTTCTTAAGCTTCACAATTTGCAAATGCTACATCTTACCTGTATATCATCATTGAAGACAAGATGAGTTGTGCCATATTTTGCTAGCAACTCAAAAGCATTGTGGTTTGCAAAGTCCTCAAACTGCATAATTCAGTTTCAAAGAACTAAAATCAGAAACATGCAATGAAATTCATGACCTCCAAAAGGTGAAATATAATTCATATCTAACCTGTATTAGAACTTTTTCTCCATAGTTCTGCTTGACAGCACTCATGAACTCTTGTAGAAGTTCAGCATATTCCTGGAGAATAGTCAAAACTGCCTCAGTACTAAAGTTAATTTACGGTTCCTCAATTCCAAATTATGAAACTGACTTAAGCAAGGTACAAAGACATTATGAAACCTCTCCAGTCGCTCTCCTTTGCCTGAGCCCAATGTAGAACTCATCCTTCAACAATTTCTCATTATTTGTACCAACATCAATGGTTACAGGTAAGCACTACAAAGAGCAAGCAGATGAGAATTGGTTATGACAGGAACAGGGTAGATTTGCAGGGCAAGATTTGAAACTAAGATTTCATGAAAGTGACAATAGAAATAAGCAGAGATATTTTATCCGAGAAATGCTTACTGCAGAAGGACGAACTCCTCCAAGTGCTGCGTATAAAGACAATTTCCCAACAGGAATTCCCATTCCCTAAAACATTTCCAGCATGGTCATGTCAAATAAAGTTTACCTTTACATCCTCATTAAATTCAATTGTACACTTGTTTCATGATGTAATTCAACAAAAGAAAATTGATTATTGACATAATTACCTGGCAGCCAAGGTCCCCAAGTCCCAAAATCCTCTCCCCATCTGTAACAACAATAACCTGAATACTCCTTTCAGGCCAGTTCTTCAAAACCTCAAGAATCTTTCCCCTGCATAATTATTAAATTTAGGCCAGATCTTATCCACTAACGTCGCTGAACTACCAAAGAAAAAGAAAGTCTTACTTCTCTTTCAGACTTATGTATAGACCCTGTGGGCGCCTGAAGATGCTTCCATATTTCTGGCAAGCTTCACCAACAGTTGGAGTGTAAACAACTGGGAGTAGTTCCTCAACATTATCAATCAGTAGCTTGTAGAACAATCTTTCATTCCTCTCCTGTTAACCTCAAAACATAGAACCACTCAGTCGCTATTTTCCCAAATTGACGGGACAATTTAATATCATAGAAGGTTTATGTCTAAGCTTTATTCCAAAATAAAGTAAGGAATTTAGTCATGAAAAAGATATACCATCATCAGCTATGAATCTAGATTATCTAAAATGTGGGTAAGTCAGGTACCTGAAGTTCCATCAAGGCCATATATTTTTGCAGTGGAACTTGATATTGTCGAATACTGTTCATAAATTTCTTCTCCTGATATTTAGAATCTTAAAAACATTAGCAACAACACTAAATGAAGCTAAAATTAAAATTTATTTAGTTGATACAAGGTCCTGAACAAAAGAGGTCAAGTGAAGTGAAGTGATTATCATAACCTGAAGCTGTTGATTCAAAACTACTGGAGGCAAAAGGCCACGAAAGTAGTGGGCATCTCTCTCTTTCTCGGTGAAAGCAAGCCCTTTGTTATGGTGTGGATCCCTCAACAACGAGTATCCACTGCATCACATTCAAAATTTCAACCAAACACAAAATTTAGTAATATTACCATTACCACATATAACCAATATTGGCTATGTACGAACCTTTTTATTATCTAAAAATCTAAAGTAAGCATTATAATATGATAATAATAATGAATTATGAAACCAAGAATCCATCAGTTATATGAAACTTCCGAAATACAGAAACAAGACCAAAACTTGGAGTAGGTAACCTGGCAACAGAGATAGTCCAGGGAGTGACAAGTTGATCTTCGGTGGCGCGATCCTCACCATAGACGTCTTCAACGCCGCCACCGACAGTGGAATTGGGGTCCATGTCGAGAACTGAAGCGCCATCTCTCATCTCCTTCATTGTGCTCTCCATTTTCAAATCACAAAACCTACAACTGCTTTACTAACTCACTGACTCTTCTCTTCTGCTTCAACAAAGCAAATCAGATACTAAATTTTATAACAAAAGAACGTCAACTTGGTTCAGTATAGTACTATTTCCTAGGACATGAACCGACTGGCGACTGTACATACAAAAAAAAAAAAATCAACGTCCCTGTCAATGTTCCAGTTAGTCAAATAGAAAAGTGTAACTCTACGAGCCCGCCACGACATTAAAGTAGTTTATCAATATTTCTTTAAACGAAAAATAATTTATTTTTTATATACCCGTTGCGTTAAATAGATAAGTCATAAGTGGGGAGGGTCATGTTTGGTGGGGGAGGAGGTTAAATCTTTTACGAAGAGAGCTTTTATTCGGTGTGATAATTGCAGAGTTTGCGCTTCTGCAAAGAGACACAGAAAAGTTTGTTACTTTGGCGGGCACAACGCAGAAGGGATTTTTTTTTTTTTTTTTAAGACGTCGAATGAGATAAACGTTTTGGTTTTTGAGAATTAAATACCCAATACCATCAAGCAGCTTTTTATTGCAAAAACAATTACAATAAATAATATTTCTATGTCTGAATTAATTATTTTTTAATGATAAAAAAAAAAAATTGTAGAATGAATCATCATGAATTATTGAAGGGTGATGGTGACAGGGTGTATAAGATAAGTGACTTTATTTAATAAATCAAACTAAATTAGGCATGTCTTGTGGAGGCTTTGACTTAAGGGGACCCGGTTATACAAGGCATATCCATTTGCTTTTAATTTGTCCACAGAATAAAATATGCGGCTATCATGGTGCTTTTACGATCAGGTCCCTCTTGAACTGAAATGAATTTTCATATTTTATTGTATAACACTCTAAACATATTTCTTTATTTCAAATTTCCTGAAATTTGTAATGTTTTATGCTTGTAGACGTCCCCTGTAATGGGAGGGAGTCACTTGACTCTCCTGAACCTTGCAAAAATTTTCTTTAAGTGTATATAATATATCAATATAAATTATATACCCTTTAGATTTTAAAATTTTCACACAAAAATATTTAAATAAATTAAATTAATCCTTCTAAATTTTGTAAAGTTTCCAACAGGTGTCTCTCAATATACCCACTTATATAGTTCCAATATCAAATATTTGATCAACTCCAACAAGTTCTTGACCTAATTTTACATTTCTATTGCATTGTTTTAAAAACCGAACCGGAGGGCAACCCGCTCTGATGGCCGGGTCACGGTTCAACCGGTCCAACCGGTTGGATCGTCGGTTGAATTGATGGTTTGACAGGTTTAAAATCTAACAAAAACACACTTGATAATTACCATCAGACCCTATAGGTTTGAAATCTAGCTAGCACAACCCTGGCCAAATGCAAATCGACGATCGATTGGGAGAGCAGCGGCGACACACCAGGGAGGGTAGATCGGATGATGGGGAGGGCGAATCGACAGCTAGCAAGTAGAGGCATCGCCAGAAAATGACAGATCGATGGTGGAAGTCAATGGTCGTGATGGTTTTTTTGGTGAGATGACTGGATCTTCGTGAACGACGGCAAGGGAGCTTGGGAGAAGGTAGATCGGTGGCTGAGGAAGCCTGTCGATGCCGGAGAAGGTTGATCGACACCGAGAAATGGAAGAAAAATCACGCGGCGAAGGTGGACGACGAAACGTCACGCGACGGCTAGAGATGAAGCATGACAGCGCCGGAGAAAGTCAGAACTCAGAAGGTGGTAGAGATGAAGCATGACAACGCCAGAGAAAGTCAGAACTCAGAAGGTGGTTTCCGACAATAAGGAAAGGTGAAAGGTCGCCAGAAAAGGGGAGGTCATTGCCGATTTGCATTTGGCCAGAGGACGTGTTTGCTAGATTTGAAACCTTCAGGGACTGACGGTAATAATCAGGGGTGTGATTGTTATATTTTAAACTTCAAACAGTTAAAAAGAGTGACCCGACCCGGAGAAGGCCCCGGGTCCCGGTCCAACCAGTTGGACCGGCCGATCCGGTCCGATTTTTAAAACAGAGTTCTATTGTAGCTTAATTTAATATCATTGTTTGTGTTAGCTCTATGAAGTATTTATTAATGAATTTCCTTCGATGCTTATGCTCATTAAGTATAAAAAGAATATTATAAATGATTCTATTTTTTTTTTTTAATGATTGGAGATATCCGAACTAACAAAACCTATTATTAAACCGTACCACACTTTTTACTGGTTATAATTTCATTTATAATCATGTTGTTATTTCCTTCCCTATTCAGCTTTATTATTTATTCATTTCACTCAAGGAAATAGCAACAAACCCTTGAAGAAAATGATGATTGATGAGGAAAAGATTTCTAATATGAATACACTAGGGCCCTAGGCTATTATATTACACAAGACTTGATTTGATTTATATTACAACAGGGATACATTATTTATAGCAACATTTTTTCAGCCAAAGATTTCTTTAAGTACTGAAGGTAAACAAACCATAGTTCTTTCGCCCTGTTTCATAGCATAAAGTTTGCATAGAGCTGAACCTGCAACTTTCCAAGCAAAGCTACAATAACCAACTGCTGCCAGTCTCTTAGCATAGTCATAAGCCACGTTATATATGGCAAGAGCCTCATCATAGATCTCCTGTACCTTCCTTGTGCTCTGTTCAAATTCCGTCGCCTCATATAATATCTACCACCAAAATGACAGATAAGCAAACTAGCGACGGAGAAAAGGATTTACAGCTATTGAATTTTATACTGGTAAGGATTAATGTTATACAAAAATTGGAGTAGAAAAGTAACCTTTTTATATTTTTTAATGACTTCATCGGCGGCCTCATCTTTGTCTTCCCCACCATTCTGCAAGGCCGCTCTCATATCCTGCCTATATTGATCATATAGTCCATTCCATTTTTTCTTGCATTCTTCGGGGACTTCATCATCATTGAAATAGGGAAGTTTCCAAACTTCTAAACAGATTTAAAACCAAAACAATTTTGTAACTCCTGCTCATTAAAACTCATACATGGTAATTCAATAATATGCATCTACTATCTATTATCGCCATATGATGTATAAATCTTCAATTTGAAAGAACACTTACCTATCACGGATACTCCTTGTGCCACATATGATTTCACTGTATTGTAAATTTTTCCCAAGACAGATTTGGATTCAAAAGAACTTGAAGCATCCCTTCCCATGTGACAAGGAAACATTTCTGCCTTCAATTCTTGTGGAACTTCTATCTGTTATGTAGTGGGGAAAATGTGTTACTGATAACTTCATATAGGACCAATATTTAAATTAGAGGATCCCTGGTAGGTCAAGGATCATGAATTTAAATTAACAACTAACCTTTCTACCACTCTTCTTTGGGGCATCCAAAGATTCATAGTATACATCAATCAACTGGCAAATGTTTTTTTTCATAAGAGCTTTCTCAGCTGCACTCTCATCTCCTAGTGTTAGGAGCCGATCCATTATTGCTAGCCAACTATCAGCTGCCTGACCTGTTGCGTAACTAAGGGCAAGCCAAAAGTACTTCAATCATTAGCATCATGGATTTTAAAGGAAAAGGATTTTGGATGCTTACACTGAAATTCCAATATAATAAAAAACTTATTGGGAACCATTGCAAAGGGATTCCTTCCTGGGTTCCCAAAATAGTTTTCGTTCAGAAATGGGGAAATCACAGATTTAAGCTAATGAAGTTTTATTTTAATTTTTTTCTAAAATGAAAAATATATGGCTAAGGTCCAGCTTTTTGACGCCTAACAATTTTTAAGCCTTAAAGAAACAAATCTTTTGACGCCCATAGTTGAACTTTTAAAGGGGTAACAAACTGTTGATTTTGGAAAGGAAATTTCAGAACAAAAGATCAAGCCAATCTAATCCTTATCTGTTTACTTCTTCAATCAAGCCCATGAGAGTTGCATTAGCCAGAATTTGATCATTACAACGAAAAAAAAAGTTATTGAAGAACACAATCAATTGCACACCTGGGCCGAAATCTTGTACTCAAGAAAAGCTCAAAAAGCTCATTCTCCAATTCCTCGGGCGAAAGGTCACTTGGTCTTTTAGTGGACATGTTATTTGTTGAAGGATTAGATGTCCATGGTTCACTTTCCCTGAAATGTTTCAAAAGCTGAAGAGATATGGGAATAAGTACCAGATTATTTAGATCACCAAAATTATATCAATCATAAACAAAATCCAGAATTAAACACAGCTTTAATTTCAAATTTGTGCAGATATCTATTCAGCACTGGTACAAGACAAGGAAGAAGCAAGATGGACCAAACATATGCTACTGAGTGTGCGTTTGGTTAACAGAATGTTGGATTACAAGAAAGTTAGATTACCTTGAAGATTACTGGGAATCTTTAGAAAAATATGTTTGCTTAATTGGAATAAATTAGTGGACATGTTTTATTAATATGTTTGATTGGAAGGAATAAATTGGCGGATATATTATTTAAATTATTGAATTGACCTCTAATTCAATATTATTATTATATTATTTTTTAATATTGATTATTATTTGGATTATATAAACCACCTGCATTTAAAAACTTGGCAAAAACAATCCCATAAAAAAGTTTGGAAAATCAACAAAGCACCCCCACAACCCAACCACTACCGGCCGCCGGCAACCATCGCCCGTCGTCGGGAACCTAACGGCACACGGAAGGCAAGAAATGGCCTCCGTGCGCCGTATGGCCATTTCTAGCCAGATTCTAGTCGTTGACAACCAGATTGATGGCCGTTAACGGCTGGCCGTCAACGACCAGATTTGTCATGATCTGGCCATTTCCGGTCAGATATCTGGCTTGAAATGGCCATATCGACGCACGACAACCATTTCTAGCCTTCTATGCGCCTTTCCGACGGTCGCGGCGGTGGTTGCCGGCGGCAGGTGGGTCGGGGTGATGGCTTGGGTGGGCTGTAATTTGTTTTGAATTCAAGGGTAATTTTGTCTAAAAAGTTAATTAATTGGGATAAAATAGTAAAAACAACATTCATGTAAATAAATTTAAAAATAAGGGCATTATTCTCCTAAAATTTTATTAATAAGGGATAGAATTGTAACAAAAAAAAAATTACCCTGGTAATCTTACAATACCTAAAAAAATTGAGGTAATCAGATTACCTCCAATATTACCAACAGTAATTACTATTGGTATTTGAAGATTACCAGAATCTTATATTACTTGACAACTAAACATGGTAATCAAATAATATAAGATGACATAACCCAGTAATCCCACATTATCTCTAACCAAACGCCCCCTAAAAACATATGAGTATAAAGATAACACGTAGGCATACATGTCTCAACATGCATTAAGTAGGTTTTTTAGCATATAAAGAAAACACAATCTGATATTTATGGAGGAAAACATTATCCCAAGGGAAAGAATAAATATTTGTATAGTTTTCATAAATATTCAAACAGTAGGCAGTTGTAAAAGATAGGTCCTGGTTTTCCAATAACATCTAAATATTTACAGTCTAGGTTATTCAATTCACCATGGTATTTAGACAACAACAAAAGAACGGGAATTGGCAAGTAATAATACTATTTTTAGCCATTGGATCAACACTCCCTGACATGATGACAGTTAGACTATTGGACATGTTAATGCTAATTAAACTGCAATTGTAAGGGGAAAAAAAGAAAAGGATATCATGAGGCACTAATCGACGATGTCTATGGCTAACAATGATGTTCAATGTAAAGCTATTAAATTTCACCTGTTTAAAGATCATGTAAAATTTCAATTTCCTAAACTGCCCTTGACATTTAGACAATGTGATAATTGATGCTACACAAAACCAGCAATGGGTGAGCATGGCTAAAACTTAGACTTGGATTCGGCAGGTACCCAAACCGCCGGTTCCGGGTAGGAATCGAAACCGACCCTCACAAAGTAGGCCTTGGTTCTAGAAAATTGGGAATTCCCAAGTCTGGTTCTAGTTCCTGAAGTGCTAGAATCGGGGACCGGAACCAAAACCTACATTCGGGTACCCTGCTGCGAACCAATTTAGGAACTGAGGGTGTATGTGTTAATTTTGTGAACTTCTAGGGGTGTATTTTTCATTTTTTTAAATTAATAGAGGGTAATTTTAATTTTATAGGGTACCCGGGAAAAGAACCAGAACCTGTATTTCTGGTTCTGGTTCCTAGCAATTTCAACGAGTATCCAGAACTGCTCACCCCTAACTAGCATGAACAAACGATATGGAAGAAGTGAATAAAACAAACGCAGGAAGTAAGAGGTTGATAGGAATTGAGCTGGGCATTGGTCCTTTTGTGGGCTTTGGGTATAACTCTACTTGAAAAACCAACTTGTCAAGGGAGGATGCCCAACTCCTTATAAACCATATGCCCACTATTTTTCCTTTCAATATGGGATCTTAACATAGGTCTAAAATCACTCTAGAATGTTTGATAGTGCAATGAGGATCAATGAGCATGGTAGAAATCTCCAAATTAATTAAGTAGAGATTTACGAAGGATAATCTACTACTTCAAGTAGAGCTGAAAGGTGGTTTAATGTTTAAGTAATATTTCCCCGAGTACTCGACACCTCAGAACATTATGAAGGCACTGATGAGGTTTATCCTTGGATACAAGAGCAGCAATTTTAAAATGGAGGGGCAGCATCATGTAAACAAAAGCAATTCAACAGATAAAGAACTTAACTAAAATAAAATATGCACATAATAATTCAATAATAAAATATGCATATCATAAAGAACAAAGTGAAATAAGGCTCACCTCAGGATTCCTTGAAACGAAAAACATGTCACCATCAAAATCCCCCCCTGCTATCTCATCTGCCACAGACCGTGGACCTTTGCAAGGAAAGAATATAGCATACTTAGCATTTCCGACAATGTCATCCAATTCTTTCACGTGTTTAGCCTTCAAGACATGGATATCTCCAAAATGTAAACCAGGATTGCGATAAACTAAAACCTTCTCCCAAGAAACTTGGCCATCATTCCTATATTACAGACAAACTTAAATGAGCACTTGCGACTTGATGCAATCTAATCAAAACATCACAAACTTTCTTTACTTGCCTAGGTCAAGATAAAACATGGATAAATCTTGGGGAAGAGAAAAAAAAAAAAAGATGTGAACTATAAGGAAACACATAAAATATATCAACTATTGGAACTGTCTGTATGCGGACACCAATTAGTCTGATATGTGCACAAAAAAGTGTGAGGGGCATTTACAGAACAGCCCCTCCTCTTCCCTTCCATCCTTTTAAGACAAATCAATTGAAACAAGGGACTGCAAGTAACTTCTGACTCCCAAAGACAGCCTAAAACAACTAAAAATAGCAGATAAAACATAACAAATATAGTAAAGATCCAATATAAGGTCTAAGGAACTCTAGTTTAGACAGTAACAATTATAATTGCATCAAAGAATGCCCTAAGCAGTCCATATAACGAAATGGCAGGCTTTGAGTCAAACAGAAGTGTGCCATGAACATACGTACAGTATGATGCAAACTTCATCACTCTTCAGGATTCCAGTGGGGTCGACTGTCCCCATTAAGTAATAACTTTCAGTTACAGGAAGCTTTCCACCTTGAAGACCCTTTTTTTCCTCCTTCAGGAGTATAGACAGACGATACTTCAAATATGGTTCATCAAGACAAATCCCAGATAAAATCATTCTTGCCACAATGAATTCATCCATCCCACCATAGTTTAGGGAAACTGCATTCATAGAAAAACAGCTTAAAAAGTCCGCTTGAAGGAGTTAAAGGAATTAGGAAAAGCTAAGGACACAGCAGAAAGGAGTTAATGGGACAAAAAGAATCGACATGTGCGTCAATGTCTAGAAAGATTGTGGCAGGGAAATTTTTTTTATAACAGAATGCTGAACAACCCTTAAGAAGATGCCAAAACAAGAAAAAAAAATATGGTCAATAATTACATATATGATCTAAAAGAAAGAAAATGCCAGGGCAAAAAGAGTTATTGCAAACAAACAGTGGCATTGCTTATGGGAAAACTACCTTTTAAGGCATTCCGTTTATTGGAGAAGACACTGTGCGCATCTTCCAAAGCATTTCTCACTATATCCACAAAAAAGCTTTCTGGGACCCGTCCATAGTTAAGCAATGCAATTAAATTCCTAGATAGAGACGGCTTTCCTGGTTGCTTGCTGGAATGTGAAAGGTAAGTTACAAATCTTAACCAAAAACATAGGAAAACCAGCAGGACATCTGACTTCCTCACAATATGTATATTAGGCTGCATTAAGCCTTTCATAATCATGCTAGAAAACCCAAATTAGTAACACCAGTGTAGGCAAACTTTATCCAATGTTTATACTTCACATTTAAATGAACGAGATCCAGACTACTTCTGTCTAAATTATCAATTCAAACCAACAATTGAAACTTTGCTTTAAAACCAATTATGGCAATTGAATTTTATGATTTTCATTGGAAAACAGGCTCAACGATTATATGCTTTTCTGAAAAACATATATATCATGGTGTTGGAAATTCAGATTTAATTGAAATCCCAGGATTCTTGTATTTAGCAATAATTATAGGGATAGCAGTAATCATAGGGAGTAATTATAATCAATAAGCTGTAAATTAGTAGTTAATTGTTTCATGATTTCTGGGGATTAACTTCCTAGAATAACAATTCATTACTGTATAAATTCTTTGTATTTAGTCATGTTTAATAAAAATTAAGAATTTCATAATTCTCTTCATGGTATCAGAGCTTTAGGCTCTTTTCTGGGATTAGAAATCTCATCCTACAAGCATTCATTGCCAAGATCCTTTGTGCCCTGCTTGTATCTTGTATTTTTCTTATTCTTTTTCTGTTTAGCCTTCATTGCTAAAATATGTCTTCCACAACTGAGAAAACCACTACCTCCCAGTCTGAAGCAGTGACTCTTAATCAAACAACAAGAGAGCTACCTACTATTCAATCTGCTTACAAAAATTTCTCACATACCATCCTTGTCCTAGCAACTAAAAAGTATCTATCGCTGATGGATCTCTGGCCACTGTTGCTGGCCAAGGAGACATTATTCTAAGTCCATCCATAACTCTTAAAAAGGTACTACATGTACCTAAGTTATCTACAAATCTTGTGTCTATTCATCAACTTACAAAAGTTTTAAACTGCAGTGTGGTGTTTTCTCTTATTTCTTATACATTTTAGGACCAAGTTACGAAGAGGATGATTGGACATGCTTAGGTGAGACAAGGTCTTTATTATCTTGAGTTACCCAACAACCAAGTGAACGATGGGAATAGACCACCTTTCTCTTTCTTGTCCAACAACCCTCATTCCAATAATGACCAAATCTGGCTTCATCATCTTAGACTTGGACACCCTTCCTTTAGTATTCTTCGTGTTATGTTTCCATCCTTGTTTAAGAATGTTAATGTAAACGAGTTTTACTGTGATGTTTGTGAATTTGCTAAACATCAACGTGTCTCCTTTCCTTTGAGTAATAAAAGAACCACGGTTCCTTTTTCTTTAATCCACAGTGATATTTGGGGTCCATATTGAGTTCCCAACATCTCCGAGGCTCGTTGGTTTGTCTCGTTCATTGATGATTGCACTCGAGTTTCATGGGTTTATTTGCTAAAACAAAAATCTAATGTGAGCACCATCTTTTCTATTTTTCATAAAATGGTCAAAACTCAATTCAATGTTGGAATTAAGAGGTTGAGAACAGATAATGCTAGAGACTATTTCAATCGAACTTTATCTCTATATCTTCAAAAATAGGGAATTATTCATGAATTTTCATGTGTGGACACACCCCAACAAAATGGGGTTGCCGAAAGAAAAAATGGTCATCTTTTAGCCTCTGTCCGTGCTCTTTTGTTTCAAAAGAATGTTCCAAAAACTTTTTGGGGAGAAGCTACCCTCACTGCCTCATCTAATAAATCGTATCCCGTCCCGGGTCCTTGACTTTAAAAGTCCAATGGAAGTGTTATCTCAGTATTTTACAGATTTCAATATGTCAACTAAGTTAGCCCCTAAAGTTTTCGAATGTGTATTTTGTTCATGTTCACTCTCATGGTCGGAACAAGCTTGATCCTATAGCTGTCAAGTGTGTCTTTATAGGATATTCCTCTACTTAGAAAGGATACAAATGCTTCAATCCTACCACTAGAAAAACTTATGTGTCTGCTGATGTCACATTTGTTGAACCAAAAAGTTGTTTTTCCAATCCTTATCTTCAGGGGGAGACATCATCTATGGAAAATAAGGATTTTTTTTTTAGAGAACCATCCATGTTAGTCAAAACATCTCCCATGCAAATTGAACCCAATCCTAAAACTGAAACTAAACACATATCTGCACCCATTTCTGAAGTCGAGCCTATTGAGTCATCTATTGAATCATCTCCTAATCCTTCTACAGCACCATCAAACCCTACACTCACACAGCCAGTACAGGTTTACTCAAGAAGAATAAAACCCGTGATCAATCCTGTGCAAGTTCAAGAAACCGAATTGTCACTTAGGAATGAGGTAAGTCATTTTACTATAGTATCACCTACTGTTCTTGATTTGGATCTACCCATAGCCACAAGAAAAGGTGTTAGAAAGTGCACAGAACACCCTTTATCCCAGTTTGTGTCCTTTAAAAAATTATCAGCCCCACATAAAAGCTTTCTTACTCATTTAAACACTATAGCCACCCCACAAACCTTATCTGAGGCACTTGGTAAAGAGAAATGGAAGCATGCAATAAGGGTAGAAATTGAGGCCTTGGAGAAGAACAAAACATGGGAACTAGTGGAATTAACAACTGGTAAGAGACCGGTAGGATGCAAATGGGTCTTCACAGTGAAATATAAGTCGGATGGATCCATTGAGAGGTATAAAGCGAAACTAGTAGCCAAGGGGTATACACAAACCTATGAGTGGATTATCAAGAGACATTTGCACCAGTGGCGAAGATGAATACAATAAGGGTGTTGTTATCTCTTGCAGCAAATTATGATTGGACTTTACAACAGTTCGATGTGAAAAATGCCTTTTTACATGTAGATCTTGAGGAGAAAATTTATATGGAAGTTTTGCCTGGCTTTGGCATAAATCTAGGCAAAAATAGAGTGTGTAGATTGAAAAAGACATTGTATGGGCTCAAACAATCTCCTCGGGCATGGTTCGGAAGATTCACTAAAGCAATGTTAAATATGAAGCACAAACAAAGTCAGGGTGATCATACATTGTTTATCAAGCATTCTGCTTCAGGGAGAGTCATTGTGTTGATAGTTTATGTGGATGATATTATACTGACTAGAAATGATCCAAATGAAAAGGAAGCTTTTCAGAAATATTTAGCAAAAGAATTTGAAATCAAGGACCTTGGGAAGTTAAATTATTTCTTAGGAATAGAAGGCTTTGTCCAAGGAAGGAATCTTTATTTCATAGTAGAAATAAGTTCTTGATTTGCTAGAAGAAACAGGTAAACTCGGTTGTAGACCATCAGACACGCCTATTGAGCCAAATCATAGACTAGTAGAGTCTATGGAAGGAAAACCAGCTGACAAAGGCATGTACCAACGACTTGTTGGTAGGTTAATCTACTTGTCACACACACGGCCTGACATTGCATATGCGGTGAGTGTGGTAAGTCAGTTCATGCAAAACCCTATAGATGTCCATCTCCATGCAGTATACTGAATATTGCAATATTTGAAAAGCAATCTAGGAAAAGGGATTCTCTTCAGAAAAAGCACAAATATGGAACTAGAAGTCTACATAGATGCTGATTATGATGGCTATGTTATTGACAGAAGATCAACATCTGGGTTTTGTACTTTTCTTGGTGGAAATTTGGTAACCTGGAGGAGTCAGAAACAACTGGTGGTAGCAAGATTTAGTGCTGAGGCAGACTTTCGTTCGATGGCAAAAGGTATTTGTGAGTTGTTATGGCTCAAGATTATCCTAGAGGACTTGATTAAATGGAAGAACCCAATAAAGCTTTTGACAATAAGTCTGCAATAAACATAGCTCATAACCCAGTTCAGCATGACAAAACTAAATATGTGGAAGTTGACAGACATTTCATAAAGGAAAGGCTTGAAAGTGGATTAATTTGCACTCCCTACATTTCTACAGGGGTCAATTAGCAGACGTTTTAACTAAAGAATTGACAAGTTCTGCATTTCAAAGGATTATAAGCAAGCTAGGGATGGAAAATATCTACTTCCCAGCTTGAGGGGGAGTGTTGGAAATTCAGATTTAATTGAAATCCCAGGATTCTTGTATTTAGAAATAATTATAGGGATAGCAGTAATCATAGGGATTAATTATAATCAATTAGCTGTAAATTAGTAGTTAATTGTTTCATGATATATGGGGATTAACTTCCTTGAATAACAATTCATTACTGTATAAATTCTTTGTATTTAGTCATGTTTAATAAGAATTAAGAATTCCATAATTCTCTTCACATGGCAGTAGTGATACATACAAAATGAAAATAATATGAAATAAAAGTAGAATGAAGAGTACCTTGTATTGACTATTTCCAACGAATTGCTTGTCTGAGTACCAGACAGATTTGGATCTGCCTCAACTTTAATCATTGAAGGTCTGATCTGAATAGTTTGAGAAGGAAGCTGCAAAATTCAGAAATGATAACAGCATTATTTTGTCAAAGTAATACAACAATGAAAAAAACTCTAGTCATAAATAAGAGCTCAATCATTCATAGCTGATGATAGGATATTCAATAAAAGCAAAATCTTGCTTATCAAAACAAATGTTACAAACTTTTATCTGGAAGTAATGAGAATAGTTTATTAAAGGTCACATGAACCCTTCAAAAACACCAAATATTTGAAGATCCCCAATCACAAAATGAAAATACAATCCACATATGATTTTGGATGACCAAATATATTGTAGATAGTGATCAGTCTATCAAAAAACTTCAATATGATAATTAACATCATAAACCTGTGATTCATACCTTTCTTAATCATGAATTGACATTTTAACTACACAAGGGTCATGTTTTACTTTCGGTTTTAATTCTTAACCCAAATTAAAACATTTAAATCCAGTAGAAATACCCTAGATGTACAATCCATTTCAGGAAAGACATTTTTGCTAAAAAAGATACAAATGCTAAGGTCCACAAATTGTACTGGCCTGTAGATCGATGGATTTAAGTCTAATTTCATCACTTCGGACTGTTTTCATCAAAGGCGCCCTCAAAAGCAAGTTTGTTTTAATTGAGTTTAGCTCAATTATAACTTTGACCATTTATCTTTAAGGAAGAATGATGAGACCAGGATGATGCGGGTGTAGGAAAGGAGAAATAAGGTAGCAAGTAGTGGATAGAAAGGAAGCTGGCAGGAAGTTTCCAATATTAGTAGTATGTTAAGGATGGTTTTAGGTTGGGATAGGCGGCAATTGTTGGTTGGGACAGCAAAGGAATTTAGTTATGGAGAGAGAGCTGGAGGATAAAAAGAGAGAGAGAGAGCAAGACTGGTTTTACACAGAGAAGAAAATAAGAAAAAAAAGGGGGAGGAGCTAGCCCTCGAAGTCTAGCATTATTTTTCTTGTTTTGAGTCTTGTTGTTCTTTTGATTGTTGCGTCGTTCCTTTTGGGTTACCTTTGTTGCTATTGTTATCTGTGTTGCTGAATATCAATAGAGAATTCCATCATCTTTTCTTGTTTCTTGGTTGTGGAGTTGTTACTGTTTCATTGTTTGGTTGAATATTGGAAGGGGCTCTATCAAAGAACAATAAAAATAAACAAAGATATAAGAGTTTCAATGAGAAGTTTATATGAGGTTTTCCATTACCAGCTTTCAACTAACTTAATCTACATCACTAACAGGGCCAAAAAACTGATTCTAATATATTGCTTGTTAGTTTATACAATAAGTGTAAGATTTTGTTAATTATTTACTTATTCTTCACTTAGTAACACATAAGATCAAGACCTAGTCCATTCCCATATATTCTTACTACTTGAGCTAAACCCGAAGAGCATGTATGTATTAGAAAATTATATAGGAACTAAACTCAATCCCTCAAACAATTATCAATACAAAAAATGGAATTAAAGCACTAATATTCTTCTTCTAGAAAAGCAAAATGGCACATTTATACCTTCTTGTTCACCAGCAGAGTTCCTTTGACAGCACGACCTTTGTGGAAGAGACGGACCTGCATTAGCAAAGGCTAGAAACAAGGAAAAGAGAAAAAATAACATATTCTAAGTTCTACAGTGAACATTGGAAATAAATTATATAACTAGTCTTTTTTTTTTTTAAAAAAATAAAATAAGTGATACACGTACTGGTACCCCACTGTGAGATTCTTGCTGATCCCCCTCACAAAACTTCCCTTCAAATTCTTTCCCATTAGCAAATCTCTAATGACATTGAAAATACTGCAAATCAATAGACAAGTCTTGCATGCATAAGATTAACAGAAACATATAAAAGTGCCACCTATAAGTTAAATTCAGTTGGCACATGGTCATTGTGGCAATATATACTTGCTGGGCTATTGCACCGGCTATCTAAAGTATTAGTTCTAATTTCTCAATCAGCAGAAATTGCATCAGTACACAAAGAAATCAACATCAAGGCCTGACTTACAAGTTTATCGACAAAATTATATAGATATATAAATTAGCAGAAAAATGGCTGATAATTCTAAATATAACAAAAGCATTTCAAACATAAATGCTCGTAAAACTTATATTCGGGTTGATATTTTACATTCATTGCAAAATCTTCTATGAGTAATCAGGTACCTAATTCATTGCAGATCAAGCTCCAAATTACAAACCTCAATGCTGTCATCATTTTTGCACTTCCCTTTAAAGATATTATTTGGGCATTTCAGAGCCAAGTCCTCTGATATAAAACCAGTTCCATCTGTATGTATAAGAAGCTTCCCATCTTTATAGACAGGATTGTCATCTTGATCCTGCAAATGGGTTTAAGAAAAAGAAAAAGAAAAAGTTGTGTGAGCAAACAAATAGACCTATACTTAGTCTATTGTCTTCCAAGTTTATTGAAGGCAGGCAATATATATGAATAGAGAATTAAACTACAGATCATACATAGCAAGGTATATCTTCAATTGTCTCAACATTTACTTTCGAAAAATCCAACTCCAACTTCATAGTCTTGGACAAAATTAGAGAAAGCCTGAAATCTCAACAGAGAAAATTAAATTCTATTATCTAGAGAACACACTTATATTGGGTCCTAAAAGGCTTACGTATTACCGTGACATATAGTTTGCCATATTTGAAACAGTGTGAACGTGCATAAATAAGGCTCTAGCTTCACAGACTGTTTTTCCAGATAAAATATAACGTTGACCATTGTCAATGGTTGCATCAGATTCCAAGCGCACAAAATAACACTTGACAGTTGATGATGTTGGGTCCTTCTTCTTTTCTTCTTTTCCTCCATCTTTAAACACTGATCAGTAACCATATTGACATAGAAAAAAAAATTATTCAATGATTTTTACCACTCACTAAACAATTTCACAATTATTTATAGTAAAAGTGAAAATAACAGCACAAACATTAGCGCAATGACAAGACTCACCAAAAAACCGGTAGCGACGCAGACCAACAAGGATCCCTTCTCTTCCAATCTTTCTGTATACATCATAATGGCTAGTAGAACTGTCTTCTTCGAACTTGACCATGAGAACGTTGTCATCTCCCAGTTCTCTTTGTAAGTGAGTTTTTGTTTGATTTAGATAAGGGCCCTGAAATTATTATTTTTATTTAAAAAAAAAAAAAAATGATATATCTAATCTTCAGTTTTCTTTAAAAAAGAATTGAAAGATGTTAAATAGGATTCTGTTGATAAATAATAATATGAGCAGTAAATCTGAGGATCTAACGAAAATTATATGAGAGATGATTATTAATATTAGTCACTGAGGCGATGTGTGGAGTTCAGAGAATTAATACAGGTCCATCTTCTGCAAGATAAGAATAAGTACATAAATAAAAACTAGGCCAGCAATAAGCCCCAGAATGAACTGAAATCAAGGAAGCTGAACTGCAGTATGAGACTTGCAATTCAAAAAATTCCAATTATATTGATATAGCACATATAAACGGTCTTTTAGAATTCTAGAATTATGTCTCATAAACATAGCACAGATATCACAACCCGTGATCTAGATTCAGCTTAATATTGTGTGCCTCAATATTGAGCAGTAACCTAAGTAGACTTAGCAAACCAGTAGACCAGAAATTCAAGTTCTCTGTTTTTATATTCAAAAACACTTCCATTCTCATAGAAGTAGTCACAGTTAGTGTCATAACGACAAATATGCATGGATATGATCAATAGGACAAACGAACCTTGAAAGTATAACTGCCATCAGGGGATACATGACAATGATAGATGTGTGTTTTTCCAGAATCCCAGACACTGCATAAGAATACAACAAGCTAATCAGCCATGCATTTGATGCAAAGAAGGGAGCACCCATATCCAAGAAACAAAAATTGATGGAAAGCCATTTATATCTCAACAAATCAAACAACTCAATTTCCTATCCCGCAATTCGAAGAACAAAGCAGATTTTATTAACATTCTGTAGATAATAATTATATAAGAGAGAGAGAGAGAGAGAGAGAGAAGGTAAGGCATTACCAAGAATATGATATGGGCAGTCGGTCTTTCTGGTCCATATCATTTCCGAAAGCTTTCCAAAGCTCCAACTCAAATCTGACCATTGATAAATCTTTCAGCTCCAGAATTTTATCAGCAGTCATTGCGTCTTCCAATTTTTTCCTGTTAAAATAAAACAATAATGAAAAAAAGAAAGCAGGTAAAGATTTGAAAACCAAGAGCAGTAACTTACTTCCCGATGTAACTTAAAATAAGAAAAGCCTTCCTGAACTCCAATTCTCCCAACGCAACGTACTGAGGAATCAATGCTCGGTTAACTTCGATGCGTGAACTCGTACTCGAACTCAAAGGGGAGCCTCTTGGGGGCTCCGGAACTGGAGGGTGACTCACACCATCATTTGGGCCTAACAAAATTATTAAACACTCAAAATCAAAATCCAACTGCTTAAAATAACAAATTGAACAAAAATAAAAAAATAAAAAGGAAAGTAGCTGAGAACCTTGAGAACGATTCATGAAACGGACGACACTGACGGGGCTCCGATTTTGAGAGTGTGAGGGAGAAAGACAGGGGCGTTTCTGGGGGGAACCGTTTGTGTTGTTGTGGCGTTGGTTGATCAAGTACTTTATGAAGCCACTAAACGAATAACGAATTGTCTGGCCGGCGATTGTACGGAGAACATTGAGAGCTTCTTCTTCGCCGAGAGAAGCGAGTGCGTGTCTTGCTTCGGCATCAGGTGGCTGTTTTTTCTGGTTCGTACAGATTTCGTGTATCAACTGCTCTACAGAATGCGGAACAGGAACTTGTGCATTCGAATCGCTCATTTTCAAAGTAGAACACTAGAATGTCACTCCAAAGTTTTTTCAAATTTGCAATGCAACTGAATATGGTTTCCCGCTATTTAAAACTGTGGTGAGTGGTGACTGGTGAGTGATGAAGGAAGCTCAAGAGGAAGACTCCGTTGGCGCACTCTAGTTTGACACGTGTAATTGTTTTAAAAATGGTATTTAAAAGCCGAATCCGTATGGTCAATTATAAAACAGGGTTTCATAAAATGCATCCTATAGAGTAAAGGATTTTGCTTGGTTGAGAAAGACAAGAATATACATATGCTTGTCTTTCTCAACCAAACAAACTTTCCCAAAGAAAAGAGTAAAGTCGATTAAAAGCTTCTTTCTCATCTCATATATATATATATATATAGATGTTGTAATTTAGTGGTGATATTAAGTAATAATACAAGAAAGATAAAATAAACAAAATAGATAACAAATACTAAAATGAGAAAATTGAGAGATGCGAGTAATATAATTTTCTTTCTCAAAACTTGGATTACTTTGAAATGAAAATTGATTAATTAAATGAAAGGGATGAGGGGTTATTTATAGTAAATAGACCCCTCCACTTTTCACCTTCTCAAGTACAGGCGGTGGATGTCCACCAAATTTTCTACAATACTCCCTCTTGAACATCCACTGCTTACAAATACGTGTATTTAACCTTACTCAAGAAAAACCATTTGAAAAAAAAAAAACCTAAGAATACAATTGTAACGTGAAGTTAGACGTACTTCATACTGCCTCATTTAAAACCTTGTTAGGAAAACTCAGTGGGACAAAACCTGACAAAAAAAAAAGAGTACAGTGCACATATGTCTAGTATAATACACTTTTATAAAAACTCCCCTTAATCGATGCTCCTCTTGATCAATGCTCTCTCTCATAATGGTAGAATTAATTTAGTAACTTATTGAGCCGTCACATACCAATGCTATACACTAACTTTTCAAATGTTGATGTCGGTAAGGACTTAGTGAACAAATCTGCCAGATTTTCACTAAATCATATTTGTTTGACATCAATCTCTCGATTTTGCTAGAGTTCGTGAGTGTAAAAGAACTTCGGTGAAATATATTTGGTTCTGTCTACTTTGATATATCCTCCCCTGAATTGGGCAATACATGCCGCATTGTCTCCATTTATAATTATGGGAGCATCTGAGATACGTGGCAATTAGCATGTACTTTCAATATGATGGATGACAGATCTTAACCATATGCATTCTCGGTTGGCTTCATGAAGAGCAAGAATTTTGGAGTGGTTGAAGGAAGTGGCATCCAATGTTTGTTTTGTAGAGCATCATGATATTGCAGTAACATTATAAGTGAAAACATATCCTATTTGCGAGCGGGCTTTGTGAGGATCAGAAAGGTATCCAACATCTGTATAGCCAACTAATTTAGGATCATTAACAGATTTCCTTGGATAAAATAATCTTAAGTTTTTTGTTCCATGAGGTAACGAAAGACATGTTTGATCCTATTCCAATGTCAGTGAGATGGTGCAGAGCTAAATCTTGCCAACAGATTCACTATAAATGCTATTTTTGGTCTTGTATATTGTGTCAAATATAATAATGCACCTATTGCATTTAGATATGAGACTTTAGGACTAGGTACCTTTTCATCGTTTTCTTTACGACGAAATAAATCTTTTTAAGATCAAGAGACCAAACTACCATTGGGGTACTCAAGGGGTGAGATTTATCCATATAAAATCATTTAAGGATCTTTTCAGTATAATTTGATTGATGGAGCAAAATTCCATCTGAACAATGCTCGATCTGCAGGCCGAGACAATACTTTGTTTTCCCTAGATCATTTATTTCAAATTCTGTTTTTAAATACTCAGCAGCTTTTGTGACCTCTTCAGGAGTTCCTATTAAGTTCATGTTATCGATATAGACCGCCACAATTGCAAATCCTAATTTTGACCTTTTTATAAAGACACACGGGCATACAGGATCATTGATGTATCTTTCCTTCATCAAATATTCACTGAGACGATTATACCATATTCGTCCTGATTGTTTCAACCATATAACGATCTTTGCATTTTTATTGAATACATATTCCTTTTATTTGCTTCTAGCACTTTGAATCCTTTAGATATTTTCATATAGATATCAGTATCTAGTGTACCGTACAAATACACAATGAAAACGTCCATGAGATGCATATCAAGTCCTTCTAAGATTGATAAACTAATCAAGTATCGAAATGTGATAGCATCCATCACTAGTGAATACGTCTCACCATAGTCAATTCTAGGTCTCTGTAGGAAACCTTGAGCCACTAATCTAGCCTTATATCTAGCAATCTCATTTTTCTCATTTTGTTTCCTTATGAATATCCACTTGTATCCTATGGGTTTCACGTTTTCAGGTGTTTGGATTACAAGTCCAAATATATTACGTTTTGTTAGGGAGGTTAATTCTGTTTGAACTGCCTCTTCCCATTACGGCCAATCATGTCTTTGTTGACATTCATCAACAAAACATGGCTCAAACTCATCATTCATAATTTTAGTAGCTACTACGTATAAGAATATGTTATTGACAATAGTTGTCTTATGATTGCATATTTCTCTAGAGTAAGCATAGTTTGTAGAAATTTCTTCATTTCTATGTTCTTGTATTCCTTTGAAGATTTCTTCCTCTTTAGGGGCTTGAGTCCTTTTAGGGACTGTTAATTCTTCTGGAGTTAGTTTAGAAGATGTGGAATTGTCAATTATTCTAGTATTATCAATATTGGCACCTATTTGATTTTATGCCTTTTGTTTCCTAAGAACAGTATCATTGGCTCCAGGCCTACCACACTTCTAGCATGTAACAGATGAATCGATCACTGCCCACATGGATTGTTCATTGGTAACATCAATCCTTGCTGGTGTATTGATAGCAAAAGTGTATGATCTCATTATTTTTGCTACATCTGTAAATGCATTAAGCATTTGATTGGCAATATTTTACAAATGTGTTATTATTTGCACTTTAATTTCAGATTGAGATGTGCGAGGATCTAAAACCTTACTTTAGGAGGCTTTACCTTTCCCCCTAAAGGAGGAAATATTGTCTCATCAAAATGGCAATCCGCAAAACGTGCAGTAAATAGATCACCCATCAGAGGCTCAAGATATCTGATGATGGATGGTGAGTCATAGTCAACATATATTCCCAAACGATGTTGGGGTCCCATTTTGGTTCGTTGAGGAGGTGCAATTGGAACTTGCACAGCACAACCAAAAGTTCTTAAATGTGATATATTAGGCTAGTGTCCAAATACAAGTTGTATTGGAGAGTATTGATGATATGCAGTAGGTCTTAGGTGAATTAACACCGCAGTATGTAAAACAACATGAGCCCAGGTAGACTTCGGTAATTGTGTAAGTAGTAGCAAAAATTCTTGCAATTAATTGGATACGCTTTATAAATGACTCTACCATACCATTCTGTGTATGTACATGTGGTACCAGGTGCTCAACAACAATTCTTATTGCTGTACAATAGTCATCAAATGTCTTTAACGTAAACTCACCAACATTGTCGAGACATCTTGCTTTAATTGGGTAATCTGGAAAGTGTGCCCGTAATCTAATAATTTGTGTCAGCAGTCTAGCAAAGGCAACATTATGGGTAGATAGTAGACAAATATGTGATCATCGTTCGGATGCGTCAATTAGTACCATAAAGTAGCGGAAATGTCCACTTGGTGGATGAATAGGTCCAAATATGTCCCTTAAATTCTTTGTAAAAATAATGGGGATTCGACACCAACTTTAGTGATGGATAGCTTAAGTGTTAATTAGCCTTGTGAGCAAGCAATACAAGTACTCTCATTAGGTGATAGAATCTTTAGATTCTTTAATGGGTGCCCATGTGAGTTTTTTATGATCCTACGCATCATAGGAGATCCTGGGTGACTAAGACGGTCATGCCAAATTTTAAAAAGTTTAGGATCAGTGAACTTTTGGTTCATGACTACATAGATTTCAATATTCTTCAAGAATGTATAATATAACCCTGATGAGAAAGCAGGGAGTTTTTCTAGTACATGCTTCTGGCATGAAATATTAGCAGTGATGCATCGAAACTCTCCATCTTTTTTACTTAAAGTTTCAATATCGTATCTATTGAGTCGTATATCTTTGAAACTAAGCAATTTTCTTCTGGATTTGCTAGAATATAAAGCATCATGGATACTTAATTTAATTCCGCTTGGTAACACAAGTGTTGCTTTTCCGGAGTCCTCAATTATGTTTGCAGATCCTGATATAATATTTATTTTAGCCTTAGTAAAGGTCAAGCCTGAGAAATATTTTCTTTTCCAAAGGATGGTATGCGTTATTGCACTGTCTACTATACAAATGTCTTTACCATTACTGGATATCAATGTCTCAGTTTCAAAGTCCATCCTTAAAAAGAGTTTTACATTATTAAGGATGTTTACAAAACTTCATCTTCATGATATGGAACTTCAGGTCCAATTTTTGTCTCTGTTTTACAAACTTCATGTTTGTAATTAGTATTTAGAACTTCAAGTTCTAAAACGATATTTATTTATAGAACTTCAAGTTCATTTATCAAATATAATATGGAAGCACAATTGCTAACATTGGTTATCAAAAATATAAAGAAAACAAATCTAATCATAAAGGTTGTATTTAACAAAATAAATAGATCCGACCATGAAGGCAGTATTAAATAATAATAAATAGATCCAGTCATAGAGGCAAAATTTAACAATAATAAATAGATTTGACCACAGAGACGAAATTTAACAATAATAAGTAGATCCGACCATAAAGGTGGAATTTAATAGTAGTAAATAAATCCGACCATAAAGGTGGAATTTAATAGTAATAAATAAATCGACCATTGAGGTGAAATTTAACAGTAATAAATAAATCCGAAAATGGAGGTAGAATTTGACAATTATAAGTAAATCCAACCATAGAGGCAGAATTTAACAGTAATAAGTAAATTCGACCATAAAGGTGGAATTTAATGATAATAAATAAATTCAGCCATAAAGGCGGAAACAAAAATTAAATAACACTTATAGGGTTAAAAATGCGTATTTTAAGTAGGCGTGCATTGTTACACTTGTTAAGCTCTTCGTGCTGATAACTTATTATAATTTAGTGGTGTTATTTAATAATAATTCAGGAAATATAAAGTAAACAAAATAGATAATAAGGACTA